ACACCCTTTGAATGGTGTGGGAGTAGGAATGGATTTCCAAAGGAAAACAATGGCAGACTGCCAGAACCCGGAGCACCACTCAGGTGACCCTGAGGACATTGATAAATCTCCAAGTGCTTCAACCGTCCTCTAAAAGGATGCAAATGACCAGCTGTCTGCAAGGAATATAAATCCTTCCATTCCCAACTATCCTGTCAGAGCTGAAGAAGCTTCTTGGATGAGAAGTGAAACATCTTCGAAAGAAAAAACAAGTTGCCTCCTGAAAAGACCTTTGGCACTGCCAATTGCTGGTGCAGCAAAGCAAGCTTAGTGTGCACCACCCATTCTTAATTTTGGCACAGTGCCTCTTGGCAAACTGCTAGTAAGAATTTACCAAGTTGATCTGGCCTTTGAAAAACGGTACAGTAAGAAAAGACTTATTACAACAGCTGCATTAGTTGCAACTTGAATAATTATGTCTTCTGTTCTTTTAGCACAAGAGGGCAGCATGAACTGCTTTATTCTTCCCTCGCTTTACAATGAATGTCCTTTTAAAAGAGGAAAATACATCTTGACTATTCTTAGTGTCATGTTTTGAGAAGTGAAATGTGTGGATATAGATAAAATTTCTAAAGCCTGACCTCCATTATTTTCAATGTAACAGGGCCCTGAAGGACTAAAGACACACTATCAATTAGTGTAAGCAATGCTGAGTTAAATAGACCAAAGAAAAAGCAACTTCATATTTATATCCAATATCTTAGAGGACAGGCAACTAACTGTATTAATTCTTAGTGGTTAGAATGAAATGTTGACAATTCTAATTTGACTTAAGACCATTGCAAGGGGCATTGTTTGTTTGTTAGCTCTTTTCAGTGTTCATCAAACCTAAAAGATTTGTTACATACGTCATGTGGAATGAATTTCTTTTAGGGACTCTGCTTGAGAACTTCCCACGGGATTAATTCAAAAGTATCTAAAAGTGAGTGCACATCGAGAAGCAAAGCCCATGGGCTTATTCTTATTCTCTCTCTTTCTCTCACTCAACAACAACAGCAACAAAAAAAACCCCAGACCAAAATTAAAAAAGCAGGAGCAGACTAACTGAGCTCGCTAAAAAGGAATACAATACCAGAAGGAAGTTTTAGCTACAATTTGGCCAGATTGAATAGTGCGTGACCCGTCAAAACCGCGGAGGACAAAATCGCGCTCGACGAAAGGTATCGCGCTGTGATCGAAAAATGTAAAAATAAAGCGAAAACCTTACCCTAACCCCCCCAAACCTAACCCTAAACCTAACCCTAAACCTAACCCTAA